GCTCCATGCAATACCCAATTTGACTTGATCCCGCCAGCTTAGCCAATGATACTCGTAATGCGTAATACGTAGTGCGTAGCGCTGTTGGTTCCCTTCAGCGTATCCAAATGTCCAATCGGCCGACAAACTAGAGCAGGTACCTGCATTTACCGCAACGCTCCTCTGCACTTGTGCGTACCCTCCCCACCCCATGGGGGACACCGGACGGAGCATCAATATTTTGCACCATCTGGGGCCAAAGAGCAGGAGATGGACCGTCACCGCCAGCGTTTTGCGGTAGCGCAGCGGTAAAGTGGAGGAGCGTCGTATGCATCCGAGCTTCGAATGCTGTTCTTCTGCGCTGGCAGATGGATTCCATGCGCATACTCGAATAGGCTGCTAGATTCTTTTCCTTGGTCCCCCCAGCCACCTGCGTTTGTATACCAACCCGGCAGTGCTCATCGGTTAGAACCCTCGCGCCTCGTAGCTCTCTACCCAGCCGATCGGCTTTGTCGTCGCCGCTTTGATTCGCTAATCAGGCCTGTCGGCTCAGGATGATCAATGCGGCAATGCCTCCCGCTGCAATCGCGGCACTGCGGCTGTACCAGGAATTACCTGCAATTGCTCCCTGCCCAGGCCGTGCCAAGCCAAGCCAGCGGTATTTACTATCAACGCTGCTTCATCTAAAGCAAGCCGGCTGGAGAGCGCTTCCACCAACCATGACGCCTCTGATTGCTCTCTCTTATTCATGATGCTTGCTTATACTGCTAGCGGTTTCATTCTCGGGCCCTTTTCATTCTTGCCAAGATGCGAGCGGCACAAGTCCATGAAATGCATGCCACGGATCTTTGTAGGCTTGTCCAGCTGCTGTCCTCGCATTCCTGCGACACTGTCTCTCCTTCTGCGTGTATACATGTCTTGGCTGACAAGACAACAAGAGAGTATACCTTAGGTACTCAGGTAGCTAGGAATTCGGCAATGCTCCCTGCTTTGCCGTACAGTCTGGCAGGCCGTGCGCGCGTGGTCGACCGGGCATGGAGCAGTTTTGCGCCGGCAATCGTCGCTGTCAGTCCGTCCGCCAAGCCCTTGTTTTGATTCATGTTGTTGTTTTTTTTGTTTTGTTTGCGAGTCCACATGATTGCTCCCTGCCCTCGCAATTTCATTCTTGATTTAGATCAGCTATCGCCATACACAGAGCGAAGCACCGATCACGAGGTGGAAGAAGTTCTATTTTTGCTTGCTTTACTCCTTGGTAGGGAGCGGCATTGACTGTAATCTATGTCAGTCAATTCATACCATCCAGACCAGGTACATGGTTCCAGAGACAGCAACAGCTGCGAGGATTATCCGTGCCGTCTTCACACTCCAAGCGTCATCAAAAACAGTGGCTGGCCTCGGGAACTGCCCGGGCCTCAGTGCTCGCTCCAGTCCCCTGCGGCCTTTCTAGCGCCCTTCCAGCGCCAGACGTCCAGGCCTAGAGCACCGTAGGCCACACTGGTCCAAAGCAAAGCCGACAATGTACCCCCGGGTACGGTGCCGCGGGCCACGGCTGAGGCAAGAACCTTTTTTTGGGCGCCCCTCGTGTTTATCTGCGCTGCTTAAACTTTGAGTGTGTTCCGTAGCACGCTAGCCTGAAGGAGCGTTGAAACAAGGCACTTGGCGAAATTAATTTGCTCTCGCAGTCAATGTTTACTTCAAGTTGTATACTTGGCGCCTACCTACCACTGCATCAGCATGTTTCTGATCCCAGCAATGTTAACAGTAGGGTTGCCCCATGTTTTTTTTTCTTCCTCGGGTGATGCAAATAAGGTCGGTGCTCGTTATGGCCGTCTCCGGATCCCATGACGACGACAAAGTACCGCTGTCGTCATTTGAAGCTGAGGGAAGGGTACTTCTGCTGGCACACCTCAACGGCTAAGAATACGCGTAGCTTTGCTTGTACTTGGCTGCTTCTGTCTTAGTCCAGCAGTAGCAATATGCGAGCATTGTAGCTGATACGATGTAGACGTACTCCGTATTCCAGCCCAGAAGCAGCTTGAGCTCTTTTGCACGTTAGACGGATATACAGCCTGGTACGGTTCATGTATCGTCGGCAATTACTGTTTGCAATGTCTCGCTATCCCTTTATCCCCCTACGTCAGTGCGCACGGCATGTTGAAGTTGAATGCTGGCTCAATTACCGCAGCATCCGAAAAGTGCATCAGGGTCTCAAATATGCTGTACAATAAGTACGCACACCATTCAGCCGATGGCCTTGGTGAACAGCGCAAGTCAAAGCCAAAAAGAGGCAAAGATGGTAGCTAGTACTGCAAGTGGTAAGGCGAGGGAAGAAAAGGAGCAAGCGAGATACCGAGATCTCTGTCCCGTAGACCCTCTCTCGGAGTGAATTTGCGGAGGTCACCGGATCCAAATTGCCGGGAACGAGGCCTAGTAAAACTCTATTGTATGTTGCATCGTGGACGACTCATGATGGTAGCCAATAGCTCCTTATCTTTCCTAGCAATCGAAATATAGTATAGTTGCGGTATAATTCTACATGTATCTAATATTTGCCGATACGTTATTTCAACGCTCAACTATAGACCCGAAACATGCGGAAGTAGATAACCACAAGCAACCGCGAGACACTTATTGCGCATCCAGGTCCTCATCGGTGGCATAACTCGCTACGTCATTGAGATACAGTACAGCCATGTCGGCTTTGCCGCTTGCGGTGGATGCCTCAAAGCAGATCACGCATCTCATGTCCAAGACATTCTGCTCGCATTCTAGAATTCCAGGAGGATGGCAAGGAGATGGCAAACCGCTTCTTCTCCATGTGCAGAAAAAGCGTCTACCCTAAGAGCGCTGGCAAGTGCCACAAGCTGCAGGTGCGCTGTAGCACTCACTTATCGCCACAGCCGCATCTTGATACAGACTGCACGGAATCAAGGCCGGCTTGTATCTTGACGATGAGATGTTGAAGCTCTTTTCTCTACCCTAGGCAGTCATTCTACTCCGGCACCACCACCACCAGCAAAAATCTCGCCTCCTTGCATCTCCATCATGCAATGCTTCGGGTTCTACGACATGCTGCCTGGTAATGTTACAAGCGCCACACTTCGTGGGAAGATCAGAGCAGTATAGGCGGCCACGAGGCAGCATTACAGGTGATACACACGGAATTTGTGCCAATAGTGTTGGCGTTTGTAGTGTTGCGCCGCTCACCGAGAGACCGAAGGATGCTGTTTGTCTCACAAAAGAGATGCAGATGTCATCAACTGGGGGCTAACACAAACCGAATACGGCACATACAATTCGACCGTGGAGGCCACATATGAAGAAGCCCAGTCGATCAATTACCAGCCACCGCTGCCCTTCCCGCAAGTGTTGACCGACGTCTTCCGGCTACACGAGGGCTTTCCTCGGGATTGCTCCTTTGATCGTAGGTGGAATCCACCGTGGCTACCATGGAGCGGTCTTGTCCCGAGGCAAAAGCGCATATCGCACTCGACTGAAACTGAGCAAACGGAGCATTCCATACCGCCAAGATGGGAGAATACCGCCACTCGCGCTCCATACTTGGCGCTACGGCTACAGTAAGAAGGAATCCACGAGACCTCAGCTGAAAGTGCGCCTGGATCTTCAATCCCCAATGTTATGCACACTACTGTACAGGTACCAAGGTATAGTACTCGCTCTATCTCTACTTGCGTCTCAATGCGGCTGTCGCCAAGACGGAAAGGGGCCAGGCATGATGAGCCGCACTAAACAATCATTCGCTCTTTGGCCTCACTGAATGACTTGGAGTATGTCTGTCCAAATCAATTCTAAAGGTATCTACGGCTCATCGTGATTGATATTCATAGGGGTACAATTGCTGACTTATACATGCGATCCTAATCCGTGCCATCTCGGCCATGGCACTGACAGATCGTCCATCACCGCATGCGGTACCTGCGATATGGAGAAGATTCGTCTTGCAGTCATGGTTCAGCCGGCTAGTATCCGCACTCCCCTGCTCGTCGTTGGGCTTCGAAAATGGCCACTGTGTGGTTCTCAGTCGCCCGCTCCCTGGCTGTATTGCTGGTCCCCTAGTCATGATGCCTGGCAAAGCAAGGGTCTGGGCTCACTGGATGGTCCTTGCGCAACGTGCGCTGGCCGTTTGCTCGTGCTCTCCTTAAACTTTACTCCGCGATCGATCAGAGAATGGCCTGGGCAACAAGAGGCAGATAAATGACGATTGACGAGACTTGCAATGTCATTGCACGCGAAATTGCTGGCACATTGGCCAGCAATGGGGTCACTGGCACCGCCGTAATATACTACTAGTACCTACCCAAGGTATCGACAGTCTGATACGGCAGTGGCCATTATAAGCGAGCAACTTGAGCGTCAGCGTCTGCATCGCTTGTAGCGAGTAGTTTCCAGAACGCGCCACCGCAAAGAGACAACAAAGCGCAAAGGGCTCCAGACAGCGTGGCATGGGCGGTCTGCCTTGGTTGCTGCGTCATGGCCGTCGTCGGCCCAATATACCTGCGCCGTACAACACCTGCCCGTTTTCAGCCTCTCCTTTGCTTCGCTTGCCCGTTCTCCTTTTCCTCCATTACCTCATCAGCTTAGCTCAGTTGGCCGCCCCATGGAAAAGCCGCTGCCAAGACGCCGATTGGCCATCGAGAATGGCACAGATTTTCAGGGATTTTCTTGTCCTGGCATGTCAACCAGCTCGCGGACCGTGGGCCGGTTCAGCAGGGACCACGCTTGAGCCGATCGGTAATAAGAGCTGCTACCACGTATTTGTGTATGGCACAAGGAGCGGTACCGTTGTGCTACCAAGGTACAGTAGATGGCATGCACCGTTGGTCATTACTTACAGGAAGCTTGATCCCGTGACATTTACATGGATGCTTGCGGCCGACTACCGAATGGCGAGGGCGGCTGGTAAACGGGCTGACAAGGGACCGTCGTATCGAAGCGGCGTTGATTGGCCCCGAGAGTCAATACGGAAAGTCGGGGAGAATACCAATGCCTTTTCAGAAGTGCTGCGCCGTCTATTCATCGTCACCCCAGAATGGAGTCAACGACCAAGATGGGGCTTCTTACTGCCTGCTCCACAGGGAATACGGAGTATGTTTGCTGGCCTGAAATATACTCTTCATTGTCTTCTTCATCAGCATCAGCCACGCTTCTCCATCCGACGAGTGGCAAAATGCTAACAAGCGAGCAAACCCTCTTGGCGCCACTAATAGATTGCTCAAGACGCTCTAGAAACTCCATGGAAGCCACCACCTCGCTTCTTGCGGCTTTCGTTGTGGGGACAAGGCCATTTACCTCATCTGGAGTGGATATCTTACACGACCTCTACGTGAAGACCACACTACAGTATGAGGTTGCGCTGCTTTTTGTCTAATGGAATAGGAAGGTCTGGGATGCTTACTCGGCGAGTCCCGAATGGCCCTTGCTCAGATGGCTGTCTATGTTTCTCATGGTATTTAGCAAAAGTAGAATGTTTGTTCTGCTCTGAACAAATTAAGGAGCAGCATTACTGGGTAATGCATTCCATTTCCTCGCTGCTCTCCGAACCAGGCCTTGACAAAAAATGACTCTCTCGGATGCCAAGATGTGGCCAGGTTGGATCTTTATCACTCACCACTACTACTACAGATTGGGTCCTACCTTGGCCACTGGGCTAAACACGGTCGCACACGACAATCCTCATCTGCCAATTGTTGAATGAACGGAAAACTGGTCCAAGCTATGAAACCAAAGGCCGTGTCAACCCCCTAGCGCAACTCAAGCCAAGCGGCACCGTCCGTGATTAGCCTGCTTCTCAACATCGATCAACCCAGCACGACGGCGTTTGCTGATATTCAGGATTCCTTGGCTGTGTTTCGTCCTTTGTCTCTCTCATCTACTTGCGTGTTACGAGCGTTGGCCTGTTGGCTGCTGCCTAACGCCGATCAGTTGTTGAGCGGTACTGTACAGTAGCACAGCAAAGCATGTTTGCTCGAAACCTTCGGCTTCCCCGGAACTCCACATCCACCACATCTCTTTTGTCCCGTTTACACGGCACCAGCATCACCAATTGCCGTCTGTCCCAGTTCTTTTTACCCGGCCTGCCCCTCCCCCCCAAAGTGTTTGACCCACGAGTAAAAAAATAACTCTAAAATTTACTCACGCGTATTCCTTTGGAAAGGAGCTGCTACCACACTGTCTCCACCTTTTTCTACGCTCTCAACCTCGTGGGCCAAAATACTGACGAGTGAGATGACTGGAATCAGCAAGATGGGTGAGATGAGATGAGATGGACCAACAAGGTGGTCGAGATGATGCTTTCAGAGGTCCCAGCTTCGTATAATGTCTATACGCCGAATTCTTGTCAATAACCGGAGTAATAGCGTAGCCGGTGGTAGCAAGCGTAGAATTAGCAGCTGATATCCTCATAATGGGAGATGGAGTTCTTACAAGTTCCATCGCATTGTTCAATTTGCTTTCATTTCTTCTATGGATTATATTAAAGAATTGCAAAAAAACTGTAAATACTCATCGACATAGTGTTAACTACCATGTTGCTAATAGGGCTCTGGTAGGACTCTGGTACAACCTTTTCTCCACAACTAAAACAATCTACCTATGGAGTGAGTGCAGGGTGAGTAACTATAAATACAGGCAAGGCCGAGTTACTTGCCAAGTACAAACTGTTAGATAATATATAATATTATTTGGGTTGTTTAACAAAGATATTCTGTGTAATATTACGTCCCGGCCTCGTGTCATGAAACAATAGCTGCTGCTTTCGTGCTCTCCTTGCGCTTGTGTACCGGAGCTGAGTCTTGTTTCTACTTTTTCTGTGCTTTTATTTATTTTTATTTATTATTAATGACCTTGCCAGCCTCGTCTGTAAATGAATAATCTCAAATATGCTCCTTTGGACTCGTTTGCGACCGAAAACATGGGGCTTGAGATACAGGCAAATCAGGATACGTAGAACATCGCTATTACAAATCGGTATCACAATCCTCTATGAGGGAGGGGAGCGTCACGAGCATCACCATTAATTTATGAAAAAAAAATAGATAGATCAGGACTTGAAGAAGGCATAGTCTCTCCCTGATATTGGAGTAACCTGACTTGAATCAGCGCTAGCTAAAGGCATTGCATTTCCGTTGCTGACCTAAGAATTGGGCTTTGTGTGTTTTTTTGCGCAGGGACGCAATAGAGCCGTGCGAGTCTCATTTCACGCAATATTCTGGAAAGTATCTTGATCTACTGCGGCAGGAGTTTGTTGGATTGCTAGGGCTCTCAGACAATGAAACCCGTTCCTATTCCGCCCTTTTTCGAATAGGAAATGTATTTTTTCGTTGTTTTCGTCATTCTTCCCTTTTCATCAAAAGTGTGGCGTAGCACTAGCTGTAAAAGATATGGGAAATACTAGCTGGTTTACGAGAAGCATGAAGAAGGTGAACGGATCGGTAATTACGAATTTTATCTTGTGATATACAACTTGAGCATACTGCTTGAGTAAACTGCGGAGCACTACATGTAGTTAATATGCTGCTCTGACACTACACAAGAGGCCATCACAGGTGAGCCATGGCTTCTTTGCAAGCAGAGAGATTCCAAGTATTATATGCCATTTTGTTTCCATGTTTTCCAATCTCCAGAGCGAAGATGTTGCATATGCACCGCAATCGACCTGTGTTTGTCTCTATTTTGCTCGATTTGAAGAGAACAGAGAGCGTACATGGCATCAAGCAGCCAATCGGCATTATACTGGACGCATGTCGCAAGTACACTGAATACATAGGTAGCATACGAGAATGTAAGGCAGGCAGTTCTATTTTACGAATTTCCAGAATCAAGATTAAGTTTGTATATCAAAGGCCCTTTTTGAATAAATAACCTCTGTAATTTATGATCAAGATATTATTCCTACCTTGCTGGTATTTGCTCAACTACGTGGCTAAACTACCAGGACAAATGCTAGCTTCAGCATCCATCGTATACGATGGCTTCACCGAACAAGCATCTCAATATCGCCCAACACATTTCACTAGTACAGAATGATTCATTGATAAATAGTTGGAAAATTCAAGTTAACTTTTAGTCATGGCTAAGTACCTAGGTATCCGATTATAGAGTATTAAGAAACCGCCACCCCAAAACCAGAATGATAGAAAATGAGAACAAAACAACAGGATAAAAAAAGAAAAGCACGTATAGTTTCTATCGCCAATGATGAAATTATACAACCCCAGACCAATGAGATCATGGAACAGTCTCGATTTCCCAAAGGAGGCCACCCGATCGCCAGACGCCGTTTACCCTATGCTTGATTGATGCCGCTACTGTCTTCCGCCTGAGCTATCTGGTTAAGCTTCCAAGGCTGTTCTATTTGAATTCCATCCCCGCATAAGGATACCCTCTTCAGGTCCTTCCAGCAGTGTTGGGATCTGGGAATCGAAAGCCCGATGGAAAGTTGGGCATGCCATTTGGCAGAGTGCTGATTCCAAAGGGAAAGTCGGCCATGTTGTTCTGTTGTCCGTTGTCGTGGTCCATTTGGTCGTGGCCCATTTGGTCGTGGCCGTCATCACGGCCTCGTCGCCAGCGACCTCCATCATCCTCGCGATGGCGCGTGGACTTGGGGCCGTTGCTGCCGCCCTTGTCCGTCTGCATGCGGCGGCTGATGGCCTTGGACGAAACACCGGCGCCGATTTCAATGTCCGGCTCTTCGACGCTGAGGCCTGTCTCGATGGGCCGGCCGCCGCTTCCGCCAAAGGGAGCCGTAAGCATCCACTTTCGGTCGGCGTCCGTAAGCTTGTGGATGGGAATGACACTAACACCCGTCGAGTAGTCGCTGCAGTCTCTGGGACCGAAGCCAACGCCCCATCGCGTCTACGCATCCGAGTTAGCTTGTTGCTTATCTCATAGGTAGTATTACTACTACCCGCTACCCATGTATCGGGAAATATGGACTTACTCGAAGGGGGAATTCAAGACCTCTGGCATCCTCCATGCCCTCCTTTGCGCGGACAGCATCCTGGCGCGTCAGCATCTTCACAAATGCATGGCGCTTGTCCTTGTTGACGATGCAAGTCTGGACAGTGCCGTAGCGGCCGAAAATGCCACGCAGTTCGGCTTCGGAACATCTAACACTTGGGTTAGTACACGATCGATATGTCTTATTTAGCCGGTAAGGCTGATGAGCCTTGCTGGACTTACGTAACGCCTCCCACGAACAGGGTACGGCTTAGAACTTTGATGTGGCCGGATGGGAGTGACGAATCAAACTCAACCCATTTCTCCTGCTGGAAATCATTGGCAGGAGAGGGGCTTCGCCCATGGCGTCGAGGGCTACGCTGGCGGTAATCGTTGCCTGCTCGGCCATTTCGGTCTCGATCATCCATACGCCCTCCTCTATTGGGAGGTGAGTTACGACCATAGTCACGTCCACCGCGCGGAGAGCCGCGAGGACCCCAGCCGCGCTCAGGCGATCTAGAGCGTGAACGGCCGCGATATCTAGGAGATCTTACGCTGTCCTGGTAGCCCTGATCCGGTGTTGGGCCTGAGCCAGCTGTTCCCCATGGCTGTTGAGCCGGTGGAAAGGTGCCCTGGGCGGCAGGGATGGGAGCGGGAGGCTGTGCTCCGGGAAATCCTCCAGCCCCGGTAGTGGCAGCAGTCATGCTCTGGATCAGAGCCGGAATCTTATCAAAGGGAACGCCTTGATCGGCAAGAGCCTTGATCAGCATTATCTGCTGCTGTACGTTCGGATCTAGACCAGCACCGCCGGCTCCAGGAGCAGGAGGCGCTGCGGCCGCCGCATATGGATTGAGTGGGTTACTCGTAGCTGGAGGAGCATTCTGACCAAGCATTTGCGTCAACGAGAAAGGCAGAGACGACACATTTACGGGTTGTGTGGTCGGGGGATACGATTGATGAGGCTGTGGGATCGATGAGGCAAGGGCCTGCGATAGCCCGGGGGGAGTAACAGAGGCTGGGGGGGCATTAGAGGCAGCAGGAGGCATGCTATACGCCGCGGCGGGAGCCGGGATAGATTGGCCGCTTGGTGCAGCCGTGGTGTTTTGCCGAGCCATGTTAGCCAAAGCCTCCAGGATAGACGAACCATTGGGTGGTGCCTGGTTTTGAACAGATGCTGCCAACCCAGGAGGCGGGCTGCCGGGGGGAGTAGTTGATTCTGCAAGCATGTTAGAAGGGCTTCTTCTCATAGCATCTATGCCTATAACGCAGCTGGCCAGAAGCACCATGCCTCTTTGAAGAGGATTGTGACCAGCTGGATCGGCGTTTTGAGCGGACGTACTGGGTGGCGAAGGAGCGTTGACCTTCTCCTTGAATGATTCTATCATGGCTGTGGGAAAGGTCTGTCCCTTCTCCCAGATATCAAGCAGCTTTTTGATCTTTTCCTACACGGCGAGAAATAAAGAGTGAGTTACTAGTCCTTCAGATACGATGTCATGTGGATAATTCCTAGAGGTGGCCGATGAACCGTCCGCAAGTATTGATGACGTTGCACTCTTAAGATTCGGTTCTGAAGATGAATGCAGAGAGGTCTTGCTGCTGGTTCACCAGATGCAAGGGATGTCATGAAAAACGAAGCGCACGTTCAGACGCCTACGAGCGGGAGCGCTGCTCTCATTTTCTTCACCAGACTCATACAGATTAAACTCGAATAAAACGTACCTTTTGGTCTTCGGGGGCGGACTGAAGAATGTCATTCATCAACACGGGCATCAGTTCCGTCACTCGGTGAACTCCAGCGGCATATGTGCCATCCTGGGCAGAGCTGTTTATAGGCTGGCCCTGAGACTTTGCTTGCTCAAGCCACTTGCGGGTTACAGAGTCTACTACGTAGAGGACCCCCAGTTTGTGTGTTCCGGGAGTTTTCTTGAAGTGTGTGTAAATTTTCTGGATGAGGACAGATTCGGACTGCAAGGGAGCGAAGTCAGCAAGACGAAGGCAACGCTGGAACAACATGCGTTGAGAGAAAATTATCCAATAAAAAATTCCTTACCTGAATATTGGCCACGCAGAGGGACGTCAGGCTAGTGATACGAGAACCAGATACGCCAGGGGGCTTCAAGTTGAGCATGGCCTGCAGGCCAGCTTCCAAGTCTGTTACTGCGGACGCCATGGTTGGGATCTAGCAAAAATTTCTTTGTGTTCCTTTGAACAGATCCTCCAGGGCACGATTCCAGCAAGAAAGAGCCAAGTGCTAGTGTACGAGTATATCCTTGATGAAGACAAAAGGCAAAACAAGCTGTCTCTTATGTCCTTGCTTGGCTGCTTCGGTGAATCACTTTTGTGCGATGAGATTCTTAGTTCAATAAAAAGTCGTACGGCTGATGTCTAGGCTGCCTCTCCACCGATGTACTATCGATCCAATGTGCCCTTACGAAAATGAAACGACGTGATACTGTACGAAATAGAATGGTTTGTCGTTTGTACGAAGCGAACAACGTCCCAAGTGTACAATGTACGTTGTGCTTGAAGGAGAGCGCGCGAGGAGAGAACAGAAAAAAAAAAAAATCTTCTACTGCCCGCAATGGACCGCGCACACGCGAGAAGGGAAGAGAAAGTGAATTCACAAAAGCTGGAGGCGAGTGCCCACAGACCTGGCCGAAGGAGATTATTATGATTATTTCGGTCGGCCTAGAAGGGGTTGTTGGCGCGAAAATACGATGAAAATGGCGAGGATGGTGATGGAAGAAGATCCGAAAGCACCTTTTTGCGGGTGGCGATGGAGATGAAGGAGGAGAAATTGAAAGGAGAGAAGAGGGGCGGGTCGCGCGAAATTTAGCAGAGAGCAATTTCCACTACTGAAACTCTGCTTGAGGCTGCCGCGTTTGGACCTAAAAACGGCTTGTGCCTAAAGTATGTGGTACGAGCCAATGGCAGGGAAGTACTTCTGTGCACTAATTATATGTAGCACTAGATGATGTATAGCCCGAGCTCCAAGAAGGTAGCAGTACCTTGCTTTCCCTTACTCAGGCCATTGCGTCTGAAAGTCACCAACGCATCTTGAGGTACGTACCCGCCACTGCTTGTTTGCTTGAACGCAGAAAATTTTTCTGCCTGTGATAGAATGAGATGAAGCGATGTTTATCCGCGTTGTGAAGCTTTACCATGTCATAGCGATGTTTGCTCCAGGAAGCAGAAGGGGGGTGTTTCTACATACATCTACTCACAAACAGCAAAATACTCTAGACAGCACAAATGAATGACGATGACGCACTCTCAGGCTTGCCGCTTTTGCTCTACGGATCAAAGGCTCGCCGGCAATCCGTGGCGGCATTTACCATCACATGACGCCCGTCGCCCTTTCGGGAGAATGGAGAGAAGCGCAGCAACTTACACGGCGGATTCGGCAAGGCTGGACGCTGAATGCAGCCATGAAAGCAAACATTTGTAGTCTATAATCGTTGCCATGTAACGAAGCCGAATTTTCCCTTGTGTTTGTAAATCGGGCACGCGCGAGGGTCAGCGCGGTTTTACGGTGGGATTTTGATTCCGGCATGTGCCCGTTCGCCAATTCCAGTCGTGTAAGCACTGACATTGATTCTGTCGTTATTATTAGAGCGCTGCCCGTTGTCGAGTAAGAATTCGACGTGCATAGGCCGGACGGACGTCATCGCTGAGAGCCAATAGAGAGCTGGGCTTGACTGACTAGATGTTAATGTTATTCGTCATATTAGGCATTTATCAATTTGTTAGATGTTGTTTTATTATTCGACCACATTACTCATTCCCATTTGCCCATGTAGCAGCAGCAATGAGGTCCAGAGTCTTTGCAGCCCAGAGTCAAAGCATCTTGATACTGCATGCAATGCATTGTGAAACTCTGGTGCGTCTATTCCGAGGTCTATCTGGCCTCTTGTCGGGGACACGGAGATGGTTGGGGGGAGTCTACTTAGTCGGTGGGGGAAGGGGGCCGTCCTTGCGGCATTAGAGGCCGTTTGTTGGCGAGCTGGTAGCTGATGAGTCGCTTCGGCCGCAATTTCAGGCCCTAATCGTGCGGTACTTTTCCGCGACTGCTGTCCTTTTAGCAGCCTTAGCAGCCTTAGCAGCCTTAGCAGCATCTGCGGTGATGTAACTGCAGCTTTTCCCAGTTCCGGTGCTAAGGTCCACGGCCCCAGCAGCCGAGCTTGCCAACCTTGTCAAAGGCTCCGAGGCTGGCTGGGAACCGCCGGGCCTAATTTTTTTTTCTGCCGTAGTAACGACGGCGAGCGCTGCGCTTTTTATAACCTCTGCCACTCCCACCCATTCCGACGTGCCCTCCTTTTTGCCTCTTTTTTCCCTCCATATACCCAAAAAGCCCTAACAATGGCCTCTGTCACTCGTCTCAGCAACTCTGCCCTGAGGGCCTCATTGCGCGCCCCCACCTTCAATGGCGTCGCTTTCAACGCCTCTCGCTGCTACTCCGCGAAGGCCCAGGTGAGCAGCATCGCCGCGGCGCAAGCACATGACGATATCTTGCTCTCCCGAAGCTCAAAGGCTTCAAGAGAAAGATTGACGGAACGTGTGACGAATCAAGTGGGATAGCAGCTGACTGGGATTTTCTTCTTCCTCCATGTAGTCTCTGAAGGACCGCTTCGCCGAGCTTCTCCCCGAGAAGATTGAGCAGATCAAGGCTCTGCGAAAGTAAGTGAAACACAATTTCGTGGCTTGAAATGGCGCCGAAAGCAGCCCTCCGTCCCTCTTCACTTTGTTCGCGTCGCTGACATTGTTTCTTCTCTTCGCAGGGAGCACGGCTCCAAGGTTGTCGACAAGGTCACCCTCGACCAGGTCTATGGCGGTGCCCGTGGCATCAAGTCCCTCGTCTGGGAGGGCTCCGTTCTCGATGCTGAGGAGGGTATCCGATTCCGTGGAAAGACCATCCCTGAGTGCCAGGAGATCCTCCCCAAGGCTCCCGGCGGCAAGGAGCCTCTTCCCGAAGGTTGGTGACACAGCACAATATTCGTGTCTAAGTATTTGAGTTGGGACTAAACTCGGAATTTCTCTGGCATATAGGTCTCTTCTGGCTTCTCCTGACCGGCGAGGTCCCTACCGAGCAGCAGGTCCGTGATCTGTCCGCCGAGTGGGCTGCCCGCTCCGATATCCCCAAGTTCGTCGAGGAGCTCATCGACCACTGCCCTACCGACCTCCACCCCATGGCCCAGTTCTCTCTGGCCGTCACTGCCCTCGAGCACACCTCCTCTTTCGCCAAGGCCTACGCCCGAGGCATCAACAAGAAGGAGTACTGGCACTACACCTATGAGGACTCCATGGATCTCATTGCCAAGCTGCCCAACATTGCTTCCCGCATCTACCAGAACGTCTTCAAGGGCGGAAAGGTTGCCGCCATCCAGAAGGACAAGGACTACTCCTTCAACTTTGCCAACCAGCTCGGCTTCGGCCAGAACGAGGACTTTATTGAGCTCCTGCGTCTGTACCTGACCATCCACACCGACCACGAGGGTGGTAACGTCAGCGCCCACACTACCCACCTGGTCGGCAGCGCTCTCAGCTCCCCCTTCCTGTCTCTGGCTGCCGGTCTTAACGGTCTTGCCGGTCCCCTGCACGGTCTTGCCAACCAGGAGGTGCTCAACTGGTTGACCGAGATGAAGAAGGCCATTGGTGACGACCTCAGCGACAAGGCCATCACTGACTACCTTTGGTCTACTCTCAACGCCGGCCGTGTCGTCCCTGGTTACGGCCACGCCGTCCTCCGCAAGACCGATCCCCGCTACACTGCCCAGCGCACTTTCGCTCAAGGTATGTTGGATACTAACCCCTTTTGTTTTGGAAAAAGGAAAAGAAAGCTAATTAAATTCCTCTACAGCCAAGATGCCCAACGACCCCATGTTCCAGCTGGTCAGCCAGGTTTACAAGATCGCCCCTGGTGTCCTGACTGAGCACGGCAAGACCAAGAACCCCTACCCCAACGTCGATGCCCACTCCGGTGTTCTTCTGCAGTACTACGGCCTGACCGAGGCCAACTACTACACCGTCCTGTTCGGTGTCTCCCGTGCCATTGGTGTCCTTCCCCAGCTGATCATTGACCGAGCTGTTGGTGCTCCCATTGAGCGCCCCAAGTCCTTCTCCACTGACAAGTGGGCTGAGCTTGTCAAGAAGCTGTAAGGAGTTTCACGTTGAGACATGGAGGAGCAACAAAAACGGCGGCGATCGAGGGAGATTTTTTTGGTTTTCTTTAGGGGAGCATTGGAAAATTAGGGAAAAGCAAAGATTGGAGCCCTCGTGGCGAATTTGAAAGCCGACTGGGATATAGACAGTCTGTGGATGACACAGCGACGGCCAGAACGGCGCTTAATTGTACAATATACGGAACCGCATTGGTTTCCAATTGATGTTAATGACACAAGACGAGCTCATGGTGATATAATGAGAAGCAATGCTACGGCTACCCATGATACTGTGGGTTGTAAGTGGTAATACTTTACATCAATTTGGTAACCAACGTGAGTGTCATGAGCCAACAACTACGGCCAAGATGATATTAGCTAGACCTGTGTGCAGATTTCATCCAACGCCGCCGACGAGAGGTTGTATAACAATTCCAATTTACATATGTAACAGCCGGTATAGAAAGAAAAAAAAGCACAAATGCTTTGAATCCCAATGGGATAATTACTGGGATAGGCAAAGCCTTGTCGAAGAATTGGAGGCCCGCTGCATGTAACTATTTTTGTTGTAGGCAATCCCTCTTATTCGTATTCGATGGCGCGAGCTTTGAAGCGCTGTGGAGATGGCGCTGGCGCTGGCGATGAGCGTCTCTGGACATTTAGCGCTCATTGGCTCTCTCCCTTTGGGCAGATCTGAGCTCAACAATCGCAACCTGTTGAGATGGCCGAAACCGAATTTAGCGGAACCTGGGCGCCACACGGGCCACAGCCCACCGCAAGCAGATGAACAGCGTCCTGTAAGAGGAGAAGTGATTTTTTCCCTGATGTGCTTTAATTGGAATTGGGTTATTTTTTGGGGTGGTTTTCGGTGGCTATAATCAATTGAAAACTGGTATTGCTGCATTCTTAGCTCACGCGGATCGATCCTCTGGGCTGTGGTGCCTATAAGCAGCGCTCCCGCAGGTACATGGGATTTTGTACATGGGCTCTGGGCGCATGCCAGTGAAATCCCCAAGTGCTGGTGGCGCCAGGAACAGTCCCAACGTGGGGAAGACGAGAGGAACGGGCTGCTGCAGAGTAGGCAATCGTAAGTGGCCATAGATAGAGGAGAGAAACATGGAGAGATATCATCAGTCTCACTTGGGGTTCCTGCTGTAAATGAATGATGCATGTACACTCAACTCTCCTCCAATGCGGAGAATCGCCAGAAGCACATGCTAGACTCTCGCCCACCACTTTCTCGGACAATGACGGTTCCAGCCAAGGCACACCCCATTCGGTCCTCGGCCCGGTTCCTATCCTGCCCGAACGCTGCCCTTTTGCTGACCCTCCCTGGCCGAGCACCGCTTATCTGCCTTCGCCAGCGCCCCCAGTAACCCTCCGACACATGCTCCGATCGTTCAACGACTGCCAGTTAGTCAGCGAGCTAAGCCTTATCGCGCGCAATCCGTCGCTCCCTCTACAAGCAGTACAAGTACACCAAAGCCTCAACACAAACCCCCCCTTTTCCTCTTCTTTTCCCTCCTCCATCTTTTCCCCCCTCAAGGAAACCAACATTCCCTCCGCTCTCCTCCACGCCTTGCGAAGAAGCACCCTATTCCCTTGGTCAGGGCCCCCCACAGCAAAACATCCCAGAAGTCATGGTCGCCGCCGCCGCTATCGAAGCTCCCGTCTCGGGCAGCTCGCTCGAGAAGAAGCCCATCAAGTTCTCCAACCTGTTGCTCGGCGCGGGTCTGAACATGTTCGAGGTCACGACTCTTGGCCAGCCCCTCGAGGTCGTCAAGACCACCATGGCTGCCAACCGCGGCGATGGCTTCTCCACGGCGCTGGCCCGTATCTGGGGTCGAGGTGGTCCTCTCGGCTGTAAGTAAATGCGAAATCAGAGAGCAATGGCTAGTTGCGCGAAATTACAAGTTTCATTCGGCTAATCTTTATTTTTGTCTAATTGTACAGTCTACCAGGGTCTTATTCCCTGGGCTTGGATTGAGGCTTCTACCAAGGGCGCTGTGCTGCTCTTTGTTGCCTCAGAGGCCGAGTTCTACGCTCGCTACATGGGTGCTTCTGAGTTTGGCGGTGGCATTCTTGGTGGTATCACCGGTGGTGTTGCCCAGGCCTATGCCACCATGGGTTTCTGCACCTGCATGAAGACGGTCGAAATCACCCAGCACAAGCTGGCCGCTTCCGGTGTCAAGCCGCCTTCCACCTTCCAGACCTTTATGAACATTTACAACAAGGAGGGTATCCGCGGTATCAACAAGGGTGTCAATGCTGTCGCCATCCGACAGATGACTAACTGGGGATCCCGCTTCGGTCTCAGCCGACTGGCCGAGGGCTGGATCCGCTCGGCCACCGGCAAGCAGCAGAGCGACAAGCTCTCTGCCGGCGAGAAGATTCTTGCTAGTGCTCTCGGTGGTGGTCTCAGCGCTTGGAACCAGCCTATCGAGGTCATCCGTGTCGAGATGCAGAGCAAGAAGGACGACCCCAACCGACCCAAGAAGATGACGGTCGGCAACACTTTCCGTTACATTTACGACAACAATGGCGTCAGGGGCCTCTACCGAGGTGTTGCCCCTCGAATTGGTCTCGGCATTTGGCAGACGATTTGCATGGTTGCTGTCGGAGACATGTAAGCTTTCCCCCAATGCACCCGTTTATACAAATTTCAGCTTTGCTAACAATACTTTTCTTGCACAGGGCTAAAACTTATGTGGAGAAATTGACTGGTGACAAGGTCACGGCTAAGCATTAGACGGCGTTTGGGAACAGGGCTCGATGATTGGCAAAAAAACATGTTTACAAGATTTGGGTTCTTATGACAAATGAAATGACGGTGGAGGGCATGTTATCTTTTGCAGTGGGCTTGTCCAAAGTCCTCTGTACTTGCTTTCTCATATGTGTGTGTTGATATATGCACCCATTCTATTACTATTTTATTATTATTATAGATCTACTCTAGCTAGGAACTGATAGAGGAGAAGTGAATGAATAGATGGCGTTGACCATCAACAACTTGAAGTGTGCAATTCGATGTGCTAGGTTTATATGCGATGAAGCGGTAAGCCGATGCGACCGTTTGACGGACGGACCGCTGCCGGCCGTGGCCTGAATATCGGCATCGGACACCGGAGGGAGCTCCGGACAGTGATCCGGAGGCTCACCTGCTTATAGGCTCAATGAGAGGAATAGTGACTGTCTCTCACATGTCAGGTTTATGTGGATGTCGTCGTCGAGTCAGGAACGAGAATACGTGAGAGATTATTCGTCGGTAATTGATGCTTAGGAATAGAGTTAAAAGTCTGTAGACGGAGGGGAAATTAAGATCCATGTTTCAAGCCATCTATCATCTGCTTTCTTGCAGATGAACTACTACACTCATGATGTGTAGGTTCCAACATGGTGATGTATAAGAGCTCATGATATGCCGCGGAGTTCCACTATGGGATTATTCACATGCATATTTCTGATTCGAGAGCGAGTCGTTAATGTTTTTTCTGAGAATTGAAGGAATGGCGCAGTCGATTTGCTACGAATTCAAATAGTATGAGGACAATACATTATTCCAACATTTACTTAAAGAGCTGCCCCTATGCGCCGATCAAACGAGCATGTGCCTCATGATTCCCGACGGCGAGAGCGATTTGTTGAATCCGTGGCAGTGCACGGCCAGTTCCTCCCATGTGGCTGTGCTCCAGCGATGAAGAATATATGGTGCCTGTGGTGCCTGATGCGCCTAAAGCTAAGGATGCTCTGCGTGCTGAGGAATAACTTTTGCAGCGTGCATTAGCGGGGCCTGGATCTGCGCTGGAGTCCCTGCCAAGAGATGGGAGACCCTGAGAGTGACAAGCGCTTTGATGTCGATTTAACGAGGATTTGATTGATGTTGAGGCTATGAAAATACAAGACTGACGGGCATTAATATGGACAGATCAGTGATGATGTGCATTTAGAGTAGACACATGTTGGCTTTATGCGCTGAATGAGAAACTGCCAACAGGTCTTACAAGGCCATATCGAGGTCCACACTAGGCATCTGGAATTACCAGCAGATTCCACGTCGGGCTCGGGTCGCAAAGCCATGCGCTCCTCTCTTCCACATACGTGGTCCCCGACTGCGCCTCGCACTTCCCGCCATTAGCGGACTCGCCATGCGTCACGAACACAGTAGAGCATGTGCTGTGGCGGTTGGCGGCCGCTGCGGCGCATGCATCTTACACAAGGACCCTGTGCATATAAAAAAGTAGAAGGCCTCTTTGTGTTGAAAACCACATCATCTTTTGACCGGCCAAACACGGCAATTTTACCGATTCTGCTCTTCTACTTGACGAGCTCATTTATCCGCCACCCGCAGCGTTCAACTGTCATCGCCAAACCAGCTAGCTAGGGGCTCGTGCGCTAAACCACCCCTCCTCCGCATCCCCTCTTACTTACTCCCACTCTCTCATCCATCTTCTCTCCTCTTCTTCATTTTTTCTCTCCTCACACGTCCATATACCTACACAACCTCTACAAGACATCTCCACATGTCCGACTTTGCTCCCCCGTCAGGGCCTCCGCCGCCCAGGGCTCCTGAAGTCCCTTCCGGCTGGACCGCCCGGTGGAACGACCAGTATAAAGAATGGTACGTTTTGGCAGTGTTTAATAATGTAGTTTTTTGTGCCGCTCTGCAGCAGAACTGCTCCTCGGTATCATCTACAGTTCCCCCTGGATTTACTGACATTCTTGTTCTAGGTTCTACGTCAACCTCTACACCAAGAAATCCCAATGGGACAAGCCCACGCACCCCGTCTATCCCGAGGGTGAAGCGCCGCCTTCAGATCCGCCTCCAGGCTACGAGGGCCGCAACTCCCCCTATCCCTCCGACTCCAAGACGAACCCCTACAGCAACTCGGGCAACAACGCCGGCTCTTCATCTAGAAACCATCAGGAAGATGAGGATGCTCGCATGGCGGCCAGGTTACAGGCCGAAGAAAATGCGCGGGCCCGCGGTGGTAGCTACAGCGGGGGTGCTGCCGACTCGTACCGCCAGGGACAGAGCACCAGCCCATACCCTCCGCCTGGAAGCAGCCCCTACTCTCCTCCCCAGCAACAGCAGCAGGGCCAGAGCGGCGAGCGAGGCCTGCTGAGCAGCCTCGCCGGTGGCTTCCTCGGTTCCAAGCTGGCGAACAAGAATAGCAGCAGCTCGCACAACGCCTCTCCCAGCGGCTTCCCCGGCGCTCCTGGCGCAGGTCCCTATGGAGGCTACGGTCCGCCACCACCGCAAGGCTACGGACCTCCCCCGCCCCAGGGATATGGCCCCCCTCCCCCCGGATACGGACCCGGTGCGTACGGCGGTGGCTACGGTCCTCCTCCGCAGCAATACCAGCAATACGCCCCGTCTCCTCAGCCGGTGATTGTGCAGCAGCAAGCACCGCCTAAAAAGAGCGGCGGCCTTGGAACCCTTGGAGGAGCTGCTCTTGGCATCGGTGGTGGTTTGGTTGGTGGTCTGTTGATAGAGGATGCCATTGATCACTTTGAGGACCGAGGATATGAGCAGGGTTATGATCAAGGATATGATAACGGATTCGACAACGGATATGACGACGGTGGTGGTGATTTTTAAAGAGAGTCTGAGCGAGACAAGCCAAGTTAGTTAAATGATTGCTATCAAATATATAGTTTTTTGCATGGAGGAGAACTTTCTGGGTGAGGGTGATCAAACGCTTTTTTTTCTTATTTCTCTGTTTCGTTTGTCTTGAGAGCTATATACTATATGGCAAGACAAGATGATTGTCGTTTGGGCTAGGAATGGGAGGATGGCGTTACGGAGTAAATGCCAAATACACCAGACTGATGATACAGTTTTACATATATATCTGTGCTCCATTATGCCTTTGTTCCAAATTCGAAGCATATACTATAATAGCTAGTTACAACGACCTTCCCCATCAATATCCTTATTACCTACCAGTCTTTGTATCTATATTATCTTTTTTTTTCCCCCTCATCGAGCGCTAGAGATCATCTCACCTCTTGACGCCTTCTTTTTTACCAGACCCCGCAAGGTAAGCCGCCATATCAAAGTTGCCGAGCGGGTTCTGTCCCGCCTGGGCGTTGCCCATGATGGCGTTGAGGGGGCTGTCCTTTTGTCGCTCTTCGAATTCGGCGCGCAGTTCGGGGTCCACTGCTCGTGGTGTCAGTTTCATGGTCTTGTGAATATGATATACACTCGTGGTATATGCATATATAGATTGAAGGAATAAATGAAAAAAGTATCAAACGTACTGTTGTCCATGAGGTACGGCATGCCGAATACGATGCCCATTGTGACGATGCCCATTAAGATCATGGGGCTCTTGAGGATGCTCAGCACGGAGACTGTCATACACTCTTAGTTAGTTTTCATCACTAGAGTAAAAGAGAAAGAGATGAAAAGAACTCACACGCAGGCCTCTCCAGGAAGAAAATCTTGCCCCCCAGCGCCTTGACGCTGAACCCCCTCCGACTGTTCCCCTCGCTCTTGACGGGCACCTCCTCGCCTTTATTCCCCCACTCGTTGCCGCGGAACGTCTCCCAGGCCTTGACGGCGCCATCCTCGCCGACGTCGACGCGCAGCGGCTGGAAAGTGTCCGTGGCGCAGTGCACGTCGAGCAGGTACGAGTCGGCCGAGACGTTGTGGAAGCTAAAGGTGTTGACCGCGGTCAGAGGGGCGTCGAGGCGCTTGTGCAGGCTGGACAGCGTGGCGTGGGTGCTGGGCGGCAGCAGGAAGGGGTTTGGCTTTGCGGGGAGGGAGACGGTGAGGGAGAGCTGGGCGGCGGAGGCGGAGGCGCTGAGGACTGCGCAGAAGAGGGCGAGGAGGGCTGGGAGCTCCATTGTTGGTGGTTGTGCTTGTTGTGATGACGATGGTGGAAATGGTAGCTACAATCAAATGGCTGAGGTGTAGTGATTGATAAGGCTTGGAGGGGGGGTTGTTTGGGGCTTAGTGCGTATCCACTGAGGGAGCTGTGAGCTTGGCGCTGCGAGGCCTGTAATTGGCTGGCGTGTAAATGATGCCCATGTAGATGGTGATTGGAAAGAATTGAAAGGGCATCACATCATGTTTTTATTTTCATCATTAAATGCTGAATATCGCCGAGAAGGAAATATACATCACAACAATTTACTGCGCCTGAGACCCTCCCACCCCCTCGGCCCCAGGACTGCCTCCCCTGCCCAGCATTTCCAGCGTCTCGTCTCTGCTCTTGGAATTGCTTAGCCTAAAAACAACCGGCCTCCTCCTGATCTCCCTGGACGACCTCGAGATGCCATCATCCGTAAATCCAAGCTCACTAAGCCCATCCAGCTCGCCAGCCTCAGCTGCCACGTCCGGCGGCGGATCCGCCTCAAAGACAGCCTCGATGTCGCCATGGGGGTTGAAGCCGGTGAAGCGCCATCTAAGCAGTGGACTCGACTTCTTCTTCCCTCGGCTCGATTCGCCGACTCTGGAAAAACTGCGCTCGTACAAGCTTATAAACAGCAGAATGGGGAAATTGAGAACCCGTACAATGGCAACGTGGATGGAGTGGAAATCGCGTGCCGAGACGAGCAGCTTCAGGGGCAGCATCAGCATCAGAGCCAGCATGTTGGATGGCGGCGGATAGGCAAAGATGGCGTCGCTCCTGACGCATTCAAACGTGAGCACTGCGCGGCGGAACTGAATCTCGGCGGCCTCGGCGTCGACGATGCGCGAGAACGTGTTGGTAAGCACGGCGACGAGAATCGTGAGGAACAGCGTGTTGCCCAAGAAGGCAAAGGCCACGATCAAGGCTGGGCCGAGCACGACGTGGAATTGCACAGATTCTTGGATGCCCGTGCCGTCGAGTCCAAACCAGATCCATAGAAGCCACTTGGCTACGGTGTACCACTTGGGCTCTGAGCCTTGGCTGGTCATGAGGAGCCACTGCAACGCCAGGAAGAAGCCTCCCACGCACCACAGCGTGAGGAATGTCAACATGAGAAAGTCCTGCATCATGGCGTGCAGCGAGATGAAGACGATATTGTCTGGCATGAGGCTGAATGCAAATCGAGTCAGTAGCACTGGTGCTGCCACGCATAGGATATGCAGTGCCAGAGAGTCGGTGCCGTCCAAGCTATGGGCGACGGAGATCCAGACATCGTACAGACGCACCGAGAGATAGGCGCAGAAGATGATGGTAAAGGTCACGTCCAGGAACGCCCACGTCTTCTGAGCATGCACCGCCCATCCATGTTCAATGATGGCTGCGAACTCGTCTAGAATCCATCCCGCCGTATATATGGCGAACAGGCTCTCGTAGAGTCTCTGAGAAGCCGGATTGCTTCGATTGACCATGGTCAAGATGTACAATCCCAGCAGTATCATGAACTGCATGGATTCAAGCAAGTTTCTCCATTTCGGGACAATCAACCGATAGTGGTTCAGCAGCGGTGCCTTGCGCGGATCATACAACGACACTGGATGATGTTTGTAATGATCCGGCAAGATATCGACAAACGATATCGGCGTGTACACCACCTGCCCCTCGTACACGGCATTCACGACTCGCAGACACGCGGGCGAGCTCATCAGCGTCTTGCTCTCCGACAGAATCGCCAGCTCCAGCGCCGTGAGCTTTCCCTCTTGGCCGCCACGCGCCTGCACCGGCCAGTGGGTATATCTTCCGGCGCGGACGACATCTTCCGGAGCCCCCGAGAAAGGATCGAACCCTTGGACGAGGACATTGGCCAGACGCAGCAGACCGGCGGAGCCCGATTTCTCGGGAGTGTTGTCCTCGTGGAACTTGCGCAGGATCTTGGTGGCGACGACTTCGCAGAGGGTGGCTCGCGCGCGGCTGACGCTCTGATGCTTGGCGGCTGTTTGCTCTTTGAGAAATTGGATGCGGTTGGCGAGGAGGCAGTATACTAGAGGGGAGCAAGGGTTGCTATGTGAGCCATGGTGATCCAAGACTTTTGTTTTCTCGCGTGCTTTATGATGTATACAGGTTTACACAAGCACAGATACAGATATAGAATGCAATGCGTGCGTCCCAAAGAGACACGAAGATGCAGCAAAAAGTCACAAAGAAGCCAGGTTCACGAGCAAAGGGGGGAGTGAGGCGAGCAAACCTATGGATGTCTCGTCAGGGTCATAGAGCCTGTCTACCAGCGGGCGGACCACGAGGGTATTAACGCGCGGGCTTGTCAGCTGCGTGGATGTATAGGGATCCTCTAATGTTGTATTTGTTTAGTTGAGAGAGCATTATGAGGGAAGTTTGCATTTAGGCGTGTATGATGACTGACCGATGCTAGCGATGATGAGGGCTCGCACTCTAGATTATATATTGGCCAATCAGTAGGCTGCTTTATCACATACAAGACGGTGAGAAGAGAGAAAGAGAACTGGAATCAAAAGACTAAACACTCTGTTATGCCAAGACTCACCGATGGATGGTGGTAAATATATTGGGAGACCCTCGCAGCGGCTCATCCTCATCAGCGAAATAGTCGCCCGCCTCGCTTACAGCGCTTTCATCAGCTTCGAGGACAGTTGTGCTTAACGCATCCTCGTTTGCAGCATCGTCCATCGTTTGAAAGGAATAAAAATAGTGAATTAAATGAAAGTAAAAAGAGCTGTTTTGCTATGAATGTCAAGCCCATTGATTGGATTTAAAACAAAGGGAAACGGAGAACTGCTGCTTGGAAAAAGTCTAAATACTGACTGACTCTGACAAACGCCCAATTTTTTTTTCCCACACGGAGGCCTCAAGCTTTTTTCCAAAGCGCTGAGGCAATTACACATGTCAGATTTAGAGGCCCTTTGGCAGTGCTGCAGCTATCACGGTAGCGCCTGCGTCATTTTGGCAAGCTTGAGCTACCTGATCAAGCAAGATGCGAGACGCAAAATGCAGGATGACGACGGGCAGTGCCACAAAATATCAACGGTAGGATACAGAACGAGGGAAATATCCTCTAGATGACCGCTTTTTCAGGGAAAAGGGGACCTTGTACGATTTTGAGCTAAGGCATGTTGTGCTTTAGCCGAAGCTTGTACTCGTGATATCTACCTATGGGAATTGGTCCCGATCCTCTAGCAGGGGGGATGCAATAGGCCAAGAATTCCGGCATTTAGATACATGCGCTGGATAACTCCTCATTCATTTCTATGACCCCCGATTGTATAGACAGCCAGCCGCCCCTCCTCTAGTAAGTAATGAAATAGCCTCACGTCAGACGTCTTTCTTGTTCACACCGCTTGATACAAATTCTTTATGTTTTTACTCTTTCTTCATTTTTTTTTTGTTCATTCATCGTTGCCGCCCCGTCTTTATAGACCAGCAGCCTGGAAAGACTGCTCAAAGTCGGCAATGATGTCGTCAATGTACTCTGTGCCGACTGAGACGCGGATAAGATCCTCGGTGACACCCGAATCGACTCTCTCAGCCTCGCTCAGCTGCTCGTGAGTGGTCGTCCAGGGGCTGCAGATGTCATGTTAGTCCATGTCTGACCATTCTCAATGCCTTTTTTCGAGGGCTTCTGGGGTGCTACTCACTGAATGGCCAGCGTCTTGGAATCACCAACGTTGGCAAGGTTGCTGATGAGCTTGAAGCCGTCAACGACCTTTGCGCCGCCCGCAGCGCCGCCCTTGACACCAAAGCTCAAGACACCGCCGAAGCCTCGGGGGAGGTACTTCTTCGCGCTGGCGTGGTACGGGTGGCTCTCCAGGCCGGGGTAGGAAACCCAGGCGACGTGCGGGCTGTTCTCCAGATACTTGGCCACGGCCAGGGCGTTCTGGGCATGGCGCTCGGCGCGCAGGCTGAGCGTCTCGACACCGAGGATCAGCTGCTGGGCGGCAAAGGGGTTGAGGGCGGCGCCGACATCGCGCAGCAGCTCGACGCGCGCGCGCACGATGAAGGACACGGCGCCAAACGTCTCCCAGAACTTGAGGCCGTGGTAGCCCTCGGAGGGCTCGACGAACTGGGGGAATCGCTTGCCGTTCTTGCCCCAGTCAAACTTGCCCGCGTCGACAATGACGCCGCCGATGGTGGTGCCGTGGCCGCCGATCCATTTGGTCGCTGAGTGGACGACGATGTCGGCGCCGTGGTCGATGGGGCGCACAAAGTAGCCGCCGGCGCCAAAGGTGTTGTCGACCTGCCATTTCCCTCGTCAGTCTTGTTTGGAATTGCAAACAGTTGTACCATCGCCAGCCACTCACCACCAGGGGCACGCCCCTGTCGTGGGCCACCTTGGCAATGGCCTCAAGGTCCGGCACGTTGTATCGAGGGTTGCCGATGCTCTCGACGTAGACGGCCTTTGTGTTGTCGTCGATGGCGGCGGCAATGTCCTTGGCGTCGTCGCCCTTGACAAACTTGGTGGTGATGCCGTAGCGCTTGAACGTGACCTTGAGCTGGTTGTAGGTGCCGCCGTACAGGTTGGTCGTCGAGACGATGTTGTCGCCGGCCTGGGCGAGGGCCGTGAGGGCGAGGAACTGCGCGGCCTGGCCCGAGGACGTGGCCAGAGCAGCAACGCCGCCTTCAAGGGCCGCTATCCGCTTCTCGAAGACATCGACGGTGGGCTGTGAGAAGTGTGAGTTGACGCTTTGAATTGGAGCATTGTCGAGGCACTCACGTTGCCGATTCGGCTGTAGATGTTGCCCTCCTCCTTGAGGCCAAAGAGTCTGGCGCCGCGGGCAGAATCGCCGAAAACGAAGCTCTGTCGCAAGATGTTTGTTAGCTGATAACCATGTCTTTGAAGAGGTTTATTGATCGCTGCTGTCTTTTGGAGCTTACGGTGGAGGCGTAGATGGGGACAGCTCGGGCGTTGGTCGCCGAGTCAGGAGTGTGTCTAGAGAACGAGTTAGTTGTCGCGATCTATCTTCTCAATTTGCTTGATTGCGTTTTCAAGACTTGTCTGCTTTGTACATCTTTCGATATATTACAAGGGCAGCTCAAAATGCAAACTTTCGCAACAGCTCCTCAGGCCATCAAAATTGTCCAGTAAGCCGATACCGCGAAGCTGCTGCCCCGCGCTTGTGCCATGCCAGCAATTGAGTTTAGGAAACAAAAAAACTTACCCCGCGTGGAGTTGCAGAGTCGCAAAGTTCTTGCTGTTGCCCGCCATTGTGATCAACGCTCGATGCTAAGGAGATAAAGGAACACAAAAAAAAATTCAACAGAAACTGCGATGGGAGGGAAAGAGAAAAGGCGTGAGAAATTTAAAGCCGAGAGGGCGGGAATCGGCGCAAACCTCGAGTGTGCCACCGAGACGTATTTATACACGGACAATCCATCAAGTACATGTATTACACTCCGTGCTAGCAACCTTGGCGGCGCAACCTCGAGTGGCCTTCTCTCTTACTGTACTAAAAAGCCTCTCACAACTCAAACTAGTAGGGGTCCAGCCGGCGACTAAACCATGGCTGGAGCGAATCCATTTGCTGTGTCGAGCCCTTTTGCTTGACAAAAACAGAAATTGAGCGTTGTGAGAGCTTGAGAGCCTCCACGCCGCGGGTGGGGTCCACGGCCGGTCCCCCAAGCACGCAATCGTCGTGAGTTCTTAACACACCAAACGGCCTCTTCTCTGCGTATATCTATACTAGATAGAGGGGTAAACCAGCTAGGAGAGAGAGAGAAAAGTACATATGCCCGTTGATCCTGGTTCTTACGGGGGGGAAAGGTGCCCCTCAGCCTTCTTTTGGCGGCCGGTTTTCGCTCTTCGCCCGTCCATCTCCCCCCATCGGATCCATCCAGCGGCCGTTCCCTGCTGGTATGGCTATGGTTCCCCGAATTTAGCCAGCGTATCAGATTCCTATTTCTTGGAAAGCTAACTCGTCTTGTAACGGCAGATGGTTATTGCCGTGGTCTGACTGTTTGAGACTTTTTTTAATGCTGAGAGGCTTCTGGTTCTTATTCAGCCCTTATGTAAGTAGACTTTAAGCCATGACACAGGCTTAATGGATGTAATAGATATTTATAAAACTGCCTGCGTAAAGTTGGGTTGTGTCAAGTGATCCTGATCAACCGCACTTGATAGTTGGCCAAGACGGGCCAATGAATCGGGCTTGGCTGGAATTGCATGGAAATAGTCCCGATTGCCTCTTCTAGCGAAATAGGGAAATCCTTGAGAGCGCTGACGGCTCGAGGAGCATGGACTCGCCTAGTGCTGTGGAGCGCTGAATACGTGTATACTATTACTGTATTAAATCCGACACCCCATCCATCCATCAATCCGACTATCGTGAACGGTTAGGTAAGATTGGCTAGTGAAATACGTTGGCTTTTCTTAATTCTTTCCATCTTCTTTGAATGCTCTGGCAAAGTAGGCTTTTCATAATTGCTTATACCAGCCAGCTAGCCCACGTCTCTTAGCCATACCACGAGAAATGGTAAATGCCCTAGTGTGTGATAGTTTGGTAACAGACCTGCCAAAGGGACCGGTTTTGAACCAATGCAATGAACTATCTTCCCAACTAGCAACTGCCGACTGCTTACCAAAGATGCTTGTTATCCAGCCATTATTATGGCTCGTTCATCATAAGCCATGCTAATCGCAACGCCATGGTGCCATGTAACCCCAGTTCAGCTCTCGCCTAATCGGGAGTCCGACGCTACATTTATCTAGATCTAATGCATGATCCAAGAGAGAAAGTAGAACAGAAAAAAATACAACGCTCAGAGCTCCACGTCTCCAGTGCCACGTCCCCTGCCCGGTAGCTTAATCTGCCCGCTGCCGCCCTTGAAAATCTCCTTTGTGGCAAGGATGGCGGAGAACATCCACAGACTGAACTGCACCGCTGCCAAAACCGCAGCGCCACGGCCCGCCATGCAGACTGGGCCGTTGCAGAAGGCCAGATCGCCAAGGCATATGGCCACGGCGATGAATCCCGAAAAGTACAAGATGCAGTTTGTGGCTTCGATGCCCAGGGATATCCTCGGGCGTATGGCGCGGGGAGCGAGGCGCGGCGTGAGTTCGATGTAGAGGACGGAGGCGAGCGTGAAGACTGGGCAGAATAGAAGAAAGTTGATGGACGGGGGCGTGGAGAGATGAGACCCCCTGAGATGCCAATTGACGACTATGAAAATGGATGAGTATAGAAATCAGAATTTGGTTTTAAAATGCTAGAGAAAAACACACCGTATGCTGTCAAGGCGATGCTGGCAGCGGCCATGATGCCCTGAAGGGCCCGGACGCAGATGATGATTGTTCGCGGCTTGACGGACATGGCGAACATGGCGAGAATATCTTAGCCGAAGAAGCTGGGGGAAAAAATATTACAGAGAGCCACAGAACACGGCCATGCCAGGGAGAAAAGGTTGGCGTGGTATCTTATTATTAGCATGAAGCGGTTGAATAAAGCTTCATGGTCGTACACTAGCGGGGATGTATGTCTGAGACATTTTGAATTACAAGTCCAAGGGAGGTGAAGAGGGCGAATCAATTGAGCAAATTGTACGCACTGCTATCTGAGTGATACGCGTCTCTAAAAGAAAAAAGAGTGTACAAGACTGTAAAATAATACATTGTCGGCTCTCTCACGTCGAATGGATAGTCCATCTTGGACAAGGTAGGATACTGGTCTCAGATATCGTGAGATGAGGCTTATACAATAGCTAGGTAGCTATGAGATGATGGCCGAGAATGGCATTAGAGCCTCAACTTGATTCATTTCAAGCGAGAAAAGGGTTGTAATTCATGATGCGATGGTTTCGTGGTGATACAGGAACAGGGACAGCTTTGACAGCTTATTTATAACTGGTCTCGTCTTAGCCTCACAGCGTGGCACATGGGTCACATCGGCAAAGAAGCTCGAAACGGGCTCAACCTGGGTGGCCTTGTACGTCGTATGAAACGTATCAAATGCCAGTTCCGTGACGGCTTGAGTTTTTTTCTCCGACAAGTCGATGATATTGGATCTTTTAAGCGTGTTGTCTTGGGGCTGTTGATTGACTGAAACTGGTGCAAAGTATAGGGTAAGTGGCATATACTACTAGTATGTACTCGAGTGGTGCTGCCTTGTACTGATAGCAATCTATAGAACGTATACATAAAACGGCTGGCAAAGTTGATATACTGCCCCTCTACCTAGGTAGGTACCTATAAGAACTGTACAGCTGCTTAGGCTTATACGCCCTCTGATAGACGTTATGGGAGAATCAGTCAGCATCAACGTTGTCCTCGGCTTTCAGAATGCGGGATAACGCGGGGAACGCGCTACCGTTTATTGCCTGGTGACTACTAGTGTAGCTCCAGCATCTAAGAATGAGTGGTAATGAACACGTTTCCAGCCCCCAGCCAGCTGTAAAGCACCAATGGCCATTGGCTTGTGAGGGGACGGACAAAGAACCCTTTTACAGAAGACCGTCCGCGGCGCCTCTCCAAAGGGTCTGGGGTTTCACATGCCGAAACAAGACGCTATGCCGAATAGCAGCGACATGATTGGCTGCCGAGCTGCGGACGTCCCCTGGAACCGAGGCCCACCGGCGTGCTTTAGCGGAGGACTGTTAAGCCAAAAGCTGCCTGGCCGCCAAGTTGCTCCCCCAGTTGCCCCGGATTCCGAGGGATTACGAAATCAGAAGAGCATTATACTGAATGTTAAGATGGAAACAACTGCTGCTAACTACTGGAAGAGAAAGCAGTTACGGGAAAAAAAAAAAAAGAGAACAGCAGCAACAGGCGATGATATGGAAAACAGCATATACAGAGTCACAGAAAAGACGAAATAGGATCCGCTTCGCCTGCTGTGGGAGCACAAGCGTCGCCACCGAGTGGCTGTTATTCCCCGAAACAGCCGACGTCACTACGGGATCCGGACTTTTGGCCTGGCTGTGCTACGCTGTGGCCCGGACTTGTTGCGGCGCCGTTTGGCTGGAGTAGACGACGATTCAATTTACGGTTTAATTGAAAGAGTTGGAAAATAATCTCTGGCGAGTGCTGGTGTTGTTGCGAGTTGTCAAAGGCTCAACTAACCTAGGCGGGTTGAGCCGCCACTGAAGGTGATTTGTCGAACTATTCAAGTACGTACTACGGAGACGGGGAGTCGGGCACATTAAAGAACCACCTGGGTAAGACGTTATAAGCTATCAATACACTTGTACCAATACTTACCAATCATGAAATATCTTCGCCTAGGTACGCAAGTTGATTTAATCCTACATGTAGGTACTCATGCAATTTTTAGTTGTCTTATACTCTGTATAGCAGACCTAGACCTCGCATCTCGCCTGGCATTGATCAATCTTATTTAGTTTCTAGCGGCCAAGACGGACGGACTGCGGAACACCAACCCTCTATCCGCTGGCCACGGGAGCTCCAGCCCACTACAAGTCCGCTGGTGGGAACGCCTCAGTGGGTGGCTGGCCGCTATTAGCAGCTGCCGTCGCAGCGCTAATGGTTTCTGTACTTGGCTAGATGTCTTTTTTTTTTTGCCTGCGCGAGCCACCATCGACCAAAATCTGGGGCTGCCGAGGCCCTCGGCCGGCCATCCTTTTTCAGCAGCCCATGTTTCGTTAAACCTCCACCTTTCTCTCCCAGCCTCGACTCTAGATCTGGATTTCTTCTTTGCATTCCGCTTTCTTAATTACGTTTCCCTCTTTCAGTAATTGGTATCTTTCCTTTTCTTTGGCTTGCACGTCGCCTTTCCTCTCACTCCATAGATTCTCGTGCACGTCACGAGCGTTGCAGCAACTCGTCTCATCAACACGCGGCCAGCTCAACTCACATCCTCCGACACAATGGCTACCAAGGACGTAGAGGCGTACATCAAGAAGCTGTCAACTCCGCCGGCGCCCGGAGCTCTGCATGGCGTGGCCCTCCCCGGCTCAGAGCGCCCCGGCCGCACTCCCATCTACCGCCACCACAAGATTGGCGATGGTGCCCTTTTGACCACGTTCAACCCCGAGATCCAATCAATCCACGACCTGTTCGAAGCCTCTGTCAAGAAGCGCCCCAACAAGCGCTGCCTCGGCACCCGCCATTGGAACGCGGCCACGCAATCATGGCAGGATCAGTTTGAGTGGGAGACGTACGGCGAGGTTGCTGAGCGCCGCAAGAACCTGGGAGCTGGCATCGTCGAAATCCACAAGGCCAACGGCCACAACGCGGATAAATACGGTGTTGGTCTCTGGTCTCAGAACCGCGCCGAATGGCAAATCACCGGTAAGCTGAGCTGATGGCTGCGCACTGCAATGCTTCCTAGGCGCAACAGTAGACCAAAGAGCTAACCAACCTCCTTATATAATAGATCTTGCACTTGCATCACAGTCTCTCTTCGCTGTGTCGCTCTATGAGACTCTCGGCCCAGACGCCTCCGAGTACATCATCAACCACGCCGAACTTGCCTGCGTCGCCTGCAGTCTGCCTCACATCCCCACCCTCCTGAAATTGGCGCCTCGAATTCCCACCCTCAAGCTGATCATCTCTCTCGATGAACTGGAGCAGGGTGAACAAGAGGGTCTGACCAAGAAGTCTGTCTTGAACAACATTGCCGCTCAGCACGGTATCAAGATCTACTCCTTCAAGGAGGTGGAGGAGCTTGGCGCCAAATCGGGCCGCCCCATGCGCCCGGCCGGTTGGGAAGATCTCTGCACAATCAACTATACTTCAGGCACCACCGGAGCGCCCAAGGGCGTTGTCATCACCCATGGCAATGCTGTTTCTGCCGTCTCGTCGAGTCGTCTGCAGGGTTCCGTGACACACAAGGATGTCCACCTGTCCTATCTGCCTCTTGCTCACATCTATGGCAGAATGGTTGATCAGGTTGCCCTTTCCGAAGGCGCCAGCATTGGCTTCTTCCGCGGCGACATCCTGGGGCTGGTTGATGACATGAAGATTCTCAAGCCCACAGGTTTCATCTCTGTCCCCCGGTTATTCAACCGCTTCAACTCGGCGATCCGAACCGCCACCATTGAAGCCGAGGGTGTCAAGGGCGCGCTCTCTCGAACCGTCATCAACACTAAAAAGGCCAACATGCGCCTGCCGCCAGGACAAGCCAGCAACACGCACTTCCTCTACGACCGCATCTGGACTCCCAAGGTCAGGGCTGCTGTGGGTTTGGACAGGGCCCACTCCATGATCAGCGGTAGCGCTCAGCTGGACCCTGACGTTCAAGAGTTCCTTCGTGCCGCCTTTGGTAACAACTTTTACCAGGGATACGGCCTGACCGAGTCATATGCCGTCGGTACCGTCCAGGTGCCCGGAGATTTCGGTCTTGGCAACATTGGACCCCCAACTGGCTGTGTCGAGATCTGCTTGGAGTCTGTACCTGAGTTCGAGTACACCGTCGAGGACAAGCCTAACCCCCGCGGTGAGCTGCTCCTCCGCGGCCCGTGCATCTTCCGCGAGTACTACAAGAACGAAGAGGAGACCAAGAAAGCCCTCGACCCCGATGGATGGTTCCACACTGGGGACATTGCAGAGATTGACAAGCTGGGTCGTCTCAAGATCATTGACCGCAAGAAGAACGTCCTCAAGCTGTCCCAGGGCGAATACATCTCTCCCGAGCGTATTGAGAACGTCTACCTGGGCAACACCAACCTGATTGCCATGGCCTATGTCCACGGTGATGCCAAGGAGTCTACTCTTGTCGGTGTCTTCGGTATCGATCTGGAGAACTTCCCTCCGTGGGCCAGCAAGATTCTTGGCGAGACTCTCACCGCTGATGACCGTGCCGCCCTCAAGACAGCTGCCAACCACCCCAAGGTTAAGCAGGAGTTCCTCAAAATCTTGAACAAGATTGCGCAGAAGCAAAAGTTCAACAGCTTTGAGCGTGTACGAAATGTCTATCTCGATATCGAGCCTTTTAGCATCGAAAACGAGCTTTTCACACCAACGTAAGTTATATAACCCCATACCGCATATATACATCAATCTAGAGTGAATTGCTAACTTGACGATCATAGTCTCAAGCTGAAGCGCCCTCAGACTGCAAGAGCCTTCCGTACCCAGATCGACAAGATGTACGAGGAGATTGCTGCCGAGGCTGGCCCTGCTCCTAAGCTGTAAAAAAATATAGATCGCGCGGGAGGTGTATATGAATAGGCATGACGATGTTGAGCGATATTGTTACGTTTTTATGTTTTGGATAGCTACTAGCTGCTTCAACTCGGTTACCCAGCTACCTGCTGATATAGTGGCTGTGGATAGTAAGAGGCTGGAGGCAATGTATTGCAGCATGTCGGCGGCATACTATTTTCTCTCTATTTATTTGTTTTTGTTGGCCATGTA